AAACATCTTCTCTCTGGCAGCTTCAACGCCCACCGATCGTGCCTAATCATGATGAGACAGGAAAAAAAAACGGTTAATGTGACTCAGAACTTGTGTAAACATACATACATACAAAGAACTATACAAACACCAATTGTGCTTTGTGTGCTGCTGTGATTACTGTAAGAAATGTGCTGCATCAGAGTGATACAGTTTCACAATCTCTACTTTGACTGGCTGAAGAGAAGAAGTACCGAGTCAGGTTAAATATGAGCTGTGATGGCAACTAAAGCTAAATCCAACATAAACTTGCAATTCTGAGAAAAAGATGTATAGCAGGAATTGTGAGATGTAAAGTTGAAATTGCGGGATGTAAACTTGGAACTGCAAGATATGTTGGAGCTGTGACATGTAAAGTCAGAACTGCGGGATGTAAACGCTGAACTGCAAGATGTAAAGTTGATATTGTGAGATGTAAAGTCAAAATTGTGCAATGTAAAGTTGTAAACAAAGTTGGAATTGTGAGGCCCAAAGTCGGAACTGTGAGGCGCAAAGTCGGAACTGTGAGGCGCAAAGTCGGAACTGTGAGGCCCAAAGTCAGAACTGTGAGGCGCAAAGTCGGAACTGTGAGGCGCAAAGCCGGAACCAAAGTCGGAATTGTGAGGCGCAAAGTCGGAATTGTGAGGCGCAATTGTGAGTCGCAAAGCCGGAATTGTGAGACGCAAAGCCCGAATTGTGAGACGCAAAGCCGGAATTGTGAGGCCCAAAGCCGGAATTGTGAGGCCCAAAGCCGGAATTGTGAGGCCCAAAGCCGGAATTGTGAGGCGCAAAGCCGGAATTGTGAGGCGCAAAGCCGGAATTGTGACGCCCAAAGCCGGAATTGTGAGGCGCAAAGCCGGAATTGTGAGACCCAAAGCCGGAATTGTGAGGCCCAAAGTCGGAATTGTGAGGCGCAAAGCCGGAATTGTGAGGCCCAAAGCCGGAATTGTGAGGCGCAAAGCCGGAATTGTGAGGCCCAAAGCCGGAATTGTGAGGCGCAAAGCCGGAATTGTGAGGCCCAAAGCCGGAATTGTGAGGCGCAAAGCCGGAATTGTGAGGCCCAAAGCCGGAATTGTGAGGCGCAAAGCCGGAATTGTGAGGCCCAAAGCCGGAATTGTGAGGCGCAAAGCCGGAATTGTGAGGCCCAAAGCCGGAATTGTGAGGCGCAAAGCCGGAATTGTGAGACGCAAAGTCGGAATTGTGAGGCCCAAAGTCGGAATTGTGAGGCCCAAAGCCGGAATTGTGAGGCCCAAAGTCGGAATTGTGAGGCGCAAAGTCGGAATTGTGAGGCGCAAAGTCGGAATTGTGAGGCGAAAAGTCGGAATTGTGAGGCGCAAAAATTGTGAGTCTCAAAGCCGGAATTGTGAGGCGCAAAGCCGGAATTGTGAGGCGCAAAGCCGGAATTGTGAGGCCCAAAGCCGGAATTGTGAGGCGCAAAGCCGGAATTGTGAGGCCCAAAGTCGGAATTGTGAGGCCCAAAACCGGAATTGTGAGGCGCAAAGCCGGAATTGTGAGGCCCAAAGCCGGAATTGTGAGGCCCAAAGCCGGAATTGTGAGACGCAAAGCCGGAATTGTGAGACGCAAAGTCGGAATTGTGAGGCGCAAAGTCGGAATTGTGAGGGGCAAAGTCGGAATTTAGACGCAAAGCCCGAATTGTGAGACGCAAAGCCGGAATTGTGAGGCCCAAAGCCGGAATTGTGAGGCCCAAAGCCGGAATTGTGAGACGCAAAGCCGGAATTGTGAGACGCAAAGTCGGAATTGTGAGGCGCAAAGTCGGAATTGTGAGGGGCAAAGTCGGAATTTGTGAGGCGCAAAGTCGGAATTTGTGAGGCGCAAAGCCGGAATTGCTCCCATGTTTGCGCTGCCAAATTATGCATACAAGTATACTTTTGCTGCAGACAAGCGCCAGCAATTGCATCAATACTGAAGTATACTTTGAACTTAAAGTCCAAACTACTTAAACATTACACCACACACAGGCCTCGTGTGTCCCAGTGATACGGTTAACCCGATTCATCCATTCTATTCTCAGTAGTAGCAGCTTTAAGGACACATGCATTAAGCCAATTAACATCTGGAGATGGACAAACACACACACACGCTTCTGATGAGGAGTTTAAAGATGCTTAGCTGAGAGATTACAGTAACAGCTCCGCTCCTGCACTGCTGTTTAACACTAACACGCTCTACTCTGATTTTATGAAGAAATTATTCTGATGTGAAGATTGTGGACCGTACCATGTCGAAGAGCATGCGCAGGACTTCTTCATTGATGAGATTCTTAGAGTAATCCAGCAGAATGTCTCCATCCTCTGTCGTCAGCTGTAAACTGCTCAGAAGACAAATCACACACATCATTAGGATATACAAAAGCTGGATTTGTTGAATTTTTTCTTCATGTACAACACGGATAATCCATGAACATCATTCAAGCCTAGTATATACACAAGTGAGAGGATCTTAGTGATGTTTAGACTGGGAAAATTAATTAAACAGACGAGGAAAGCTAAACGAGCCATTTGAGAAAATGTATTAGGCCCATCACACTGTTATTTTAAGCAGTGAGGCTCGAATTGCAGCAATGCCACATTACTCTCGAAATTTAATTACACTCAAATAAATATTTTTCAAATATTTTTTAAATTGTTATTCTTCCCCTCACAATTTAAATTCCTGATCTATCCTTTACAAAAATGTAATGGCAAAAAATAAATAAATACCACAGATGCTTTCAAAATCTTGGTTATTGTATTTTTACCTAATATTTAGTCTTAAACTAAATTAACAGTTTTATTGTAGTAACAATAACTAAGAGACTATAGTCACCACAATATTATATATTTTGTATATTAACATACATTTGCATACAATTTGCAGGAAAATTATACAATCATATATATATATATAGAATATACGGTCTGTACAGTATAAAAACCATTACGCCTATGGAGAGTCCCCACAAGGATAGCAAATCAGACGTGTGTGTGTGTGAGAGAGTGTGCAAAAGAGCACGTACAACATGCTGCTATGGCGCCCTCTGTTGGCCAACACTCTTCTGAGAATAAATACCTACTACAGACTTTTATGAACACTTAATACATCAGAATTTAACCTATAACAGCTAATGCACTCTCATACGAACAGACTATTGTAAATATGTCACATATAAACACAGAAGTCTCGCAGCAGAGGACGTGATACTCCCTTAAGAGATTGCATAAGCAGTGAGTGCACTTGAGAAATGCCTGATAATGTGCAGTTAATGAAAGAGTCATAAAAGAAACTCCTATTAGTATGCTGCCACATAAGAGCAGTGTTAAAGTGCAGGCAGAGCTCAAACACACATCATCGATGATCTTGTTATGCGTCTAGCTGATATTGTGGCAATGTTTACTGTTTTAAAGCAAAGATAAACAGTTACTCATACCAGCAGTGTTTATATGAGTGTAAATGAAGATATAAAGCAGGTGCAACAGTGCAGAGGGCGGAACCTGGAGCTCGAGACTCTTGGCCTGATGGGGCAATAACCTTGCAACATCAACGTGGAAATCCAGGCTGACATGTAACGCTAAATGTAACGATATGCGCATACATGTGTGTCCTGATATTAAATGAAGATGCTATCTTACAAAAAAGGTGCATAAATTGTGTTATATACGAGATTTGCTCATAGGCCTTATGGCCAACATGCAAGTCCTAGAAACAGCTGATACGCGGCACACGTGATGCTGCCGAGGAAGACGAGACGAAATGCCAGTGTTAATGTGTAACAGAGCTCACGTGCGCAGCGGAAGCGCGTTTGATGCGTGTTTCACCTGAACTTGTTGAATCTGTCCTGCTCTGCGTCGAACATCTGCCTCATGTTCAGGTTTCCGGCGCTGGATTTGTACCATTGCTCCAGTTTGCGGTAGTTCGGGTCGCTGGTGAGCTCCATGATTAAATAAACCTCGCTGTGCTTCGGACCAAAGCTGAATCATGTGAATCACTCAGCGCACAGAAGCCTGAGGAGGAAGTCCAATGACAAACCCTGACAGCCACGCCCATCACGACTGCGACACGCCCACCGCGACGGCAGCGAGTCCTGCGTAGCCCCGCCCACTGTGACACTGCACTGACTGAGGAGGTCAGAAGGCTGTTGTGTAATATAGACCATGTATTGTTAATTAGAACATTTTGACTGTTTGAAATAAATTTGACATTTTTGATACTTTATGTGACGGTTGATATTGATCAACAATATGGCGTGCTTTTTTATTATTTACATTTATTTCATTACGGATGGATGTTTTCTGGTTTAGGGATTTAATGTCACCACTAGATGGAACCAAACAATCACAAACATATTTTGTACACTCTCAAGGGGGTGATAGGTGATATTATTACCAGTTATGAACAAATATGCACCGTTTGTACCTTTCTATTTATTTATTTTCTGACAGTGTAATTGGAGTTTACTTAATATGATGTATTAATCCATTTTAGAGTAACTTTTGAAAGATAGCCATTGTGAAAAACCGATGCACTTTATTGTATGTGCACTTGCGGTATATACTTCATATTCATACTTATAGTCTATTTAAAAAAATTTACTTGCAGAAAATATATTACTGACATAAAAGGCCACTTAAGTACATTTTAGAGTACAAACTTTAATGACTGTTTCTTAACACATTTTAAATACACTTTAAGATACTTTTTTCAATATTACATTTAAAGTTATAATATTTTAAATATACTAAATTTCAACTTTACCATTACAAATATGCAATTAGAAAATTATATTTATAAATGCTTATCAGTACACATTTACTAAAAAAAACTAAAAAATACAGAGGCAATTATGATATTACGTGTAAATATGCACTTATTATCCCTAATTGACCCAGAAATGAAAGTGTCATAATTTTGTTGAACACAAAAAGATACTTTGAAAAATATGGGTAACCACACACAAAAAACAAAACAAACAAAAACACTCCTACAGGTCTGGAACAATTTGAGGGTGAGTAAATTATTCTTTTCTTATGCAAGTCGTCTTACGTTCAACTAATTGCATTTCTTGTACATCATGTAAACTACATTTTCAGGTCTGAAAAAAATAATACTCCGTTCACACTAATGTATGGAGCATAAACACTCAACCCAAAAAATGTAATCACATAACAGATAGTAAACAGTTTATTCTTGCATCTAGTAAAAAGCTCTTTACATGTAGTTGTGAACAGATTCCATGCCGGGGTTCACAAGGAAAGCGTGTCGACCCTGATGGAAGGATTTGGTGCTCATCACAAGACATTTCCAGAACAGCATTTGCCTCACAAACATCTCCAAGACCTGCATGCAGCAACTTCCCGTTTATACGCGAGTATCACTGTTCCAACACTGAACAAACACACAGCTGGAATTTACACTGTAATACACAACCTCTAAAGAAAACTCTGGAATCAAGCCAACAGACTAATAATACCCTAACGTTCCTAATAATTATATACGAATACAAAAAAAAGTACTATTTTAGGACAACATGGATGTTTATTATTTTTTCATATTGAGCAGTTAATTATAAATGGCTCCATTATGAAGCCCTAATTAAATCATGTCTATGTGCTTCAGATGAAGATTCACTTTAGTCAGATACGAATGAACGTTTATTACCGGAATAAAGCAGCTCTGAATTTAAGAGCTTGACAAGTGCAAAAGCATATTCACACAAGACCCAAAACTCAAAATGTTCTGCGTCTTACAAACTTGGACTGTAATATACGCTATAATCTGAAAACAGTTTATTTCATTATCAACTGACCCACCGATCCCAACAGTTTAAACAAACATTTAACAAAACGAAACCATTTTTGCAGTGATGTCACAGCCATACGCTACACAATCCAATCTGAAGCGAACGGAGAGATGAAAAACTGGCCAGTTATAATATCAAACCTTCAAACTTCAGTCATAAATCTATAAAAAAAAACAAAAAAAAGGACTTTAAATCGCAGCATTTTGCTTATTCCACAGCAAACACTCACTGCGAGTATAATGTGAATTTGGTTACAAAATGAAATGTATCCAATCAAAATGCGGCTGAAGTGACATCTTGAGCGATGCGTAGGTGTGGCTGTGACATCACAATGTGCATGAGGTCACATGACCCTATGACATCATGCTAGTGCAGTCAGTGACTATAAAACGCACCGCAGCTGAACGAGGAGCGATGGGAAAAGATAAACAGCATCTGCATTACAGAACACAACACATTCTGGCTTTTCAACGGTCCAGCTTTCGCTCACATTAAAGACAGAAACAGAAGAAACCATCCACTGGGAAGCAGTGCTATTGAATAATCTCTCAGCAAGTACTCAAACTTCAAGCCAGCTCTAGGCTCAGTGTGACATGTCAGTTTCACCTGATGTTTTATGAGGTGAAGAACATGTGATCTGAATGTTGAAGGACAGGCATATAATTGTTAGTGGTAGAAGCTCAAAAGTGGCAAGAATGCATCGTCAAAGTAACTGCAGCATAGGTTTCTGTAAACTCACAGAGTAGCATTATTTCCTTAGTAAAGATGGACGTTCACTTATCGGTAAACGTCTGCTACAAAGAGCTACACACTGCAAAGTGGACCTCATCAAATATAAATCAAACCCACAGAATATATAAACAGATCACAGAGGTCGCTTTGCACTGGTTGACCACATCTTGTCATTTAAAGTTGTGCTATTTCATATTCGTAAGGAACCGTTTCCCTAAAGACAGCATTTCTGTGTTTTTCTCCATTATATCTAAAATGTCTTTTAGTGAAACGTCTTGAAGCGCTTGCCCTGATGAGGAACCTCACTAGAAACTACAGACCTCTAACAAGGGATCGATACATCCAAAGAAATCTACGTCCAACGTACTAGTTTATATATATTAAAAAGAAAAAGAAAAATCTACTTACTACGGGAATAGGAATAGTGATGTTTGAGGTTGAATGAAATTACATTAGAAAAATATAACTATGTATAACTGAGTTCCAGGCAGTCTATTTTGATGCTAAATACACTGTAAGATACTTTATAGCAAACAAGTCAAAAATAAACCTCATTCAGTGATCAAAACCATCACGATGCATTGTTTGAGATTATAATCTGTTAGCTGTAAACAGCGGTAGATCAAATTCAGGTTGAGCATTGAAGGTCAACAAACTAAGGAAAAGTAAGTCCCTCAGAAATCATAATATATTTGAAACCATCTGGAGAGATTCTTCTCAAATTAACAATTCAAAAAATAGTATATGTTCCACTCCTCAGGAAGAAATGGAGTAGGTGTTTCATTAATATCCAGGTTTCAAGCAGTCGAACCCCAGTGCTGGTGACAGATTTACAACACGTACGTTTATCTCCTCGTTCTCAGCAAAACATGTGCCCCGAAATGCAGTTCCCACACAAATCAGGTCTTCTGGATCCGCTTCCTCTCATCCCTATGCAGCGATTTTGTTATCCTTCTAGAGAAACAAATGAAGAGAGAAAAAGTAAATAGCTACAAACCCCCCCCCCCCCAAAAAAAAAACTAAAAACCAAGTAATTTATAATGTGTATAATTTAGATCTTTTCCCAAGATACATTAAAAAAATTAATTATTAATATTTTCACAGCTGATTCTTTGGTTTATAGTTATTGTACTTATTTCCCATTAATTAAAGAACATTTTCTTATAAATTTGGTCACAGGGTTGAATGGCTGTGCTACATAAATGTCATCACCACAACGAGTAAAAAAAAAAAAAATTTATTAATTAAAAAAATAAAAAACCGGAAAACATTTTTCTGTGCACTATTCTGCAGAAAGATCTGACCAAACAATGCCACTTCCTTGATCTCAATTAAAAGGAACGCCCCATTGTTAAACAGTGGGAGAATCATGCGATAACGGGGATGCACACTCTTTTAGAGTAAGTTAATATGTGGGATGTAAATTCAGTTAATTGTGGGAAACGTTACATTGTTGTATTGTTTTATTAGTTGGATACATTCGAGGTGCTCAAGTTAGGTGGGCCAAAATCCAAACACAAAATTTTTGATCCCCTACTGCCCATTTGAAGCAAGGTGTCCCCCAGGGATCTGTTCTTGGCCCACTATTATTCTTTATTTACATACTACCCCTGCATCAAATCTTGTACTGACATGGCTTTTATTACCATTTATATATTGATGACATTCAAATATACTCTGTAGGCCTGCTCTATCCACTCAAATTGACAAAATATCTGCTTACATACATGAAATAAAAAAAAATTGGCTAACCTCTCATTTTTAACTAAGCATGATTTTTATTTTACTTTTTTAACAAAACATTATCATTATTGTTGGACCCCCATCACTCACTAGAAACATTCCTAATGACTCTTCTTGTGAGATAGCTGGTACTCTTATTAGATCATCTTGTACCGTTAAAAATCTAGGTGTTATTTTTGATTCATCTCTCTCCTTTCAAGCTCATATTTACTGTCACCAAATCAGCATTCTTTCAATTATGTTGCATTGTCCAGCTCCGTCGTCTCATTAGTGTTAAAGATGCTGACACCATTATCCATGCTTTTGTTTCATCCCGCCTTGATTATTGCAATGCCGTTTTCATTGGTTTACCTGCCATTTCCATTTCACAGTATATTCAAAATTCTGCTGCTAGACTACTCACACACACCAAGTGCTCTGCCCACATAACTCTAATTTTGTTCAATCTCCATTGGCTTCCGGTTGTATATCATTATTAAATTCAAAATTCTCCTGCTCACTTTTAAACAAAGTTGCACAACCTGGCTCCCTGGTATCTCTGTGAACTGATCCTCCCTTACAGCCTAACTCGCTCATTACACTCCTCTGATTCTGGTCTTCTCAGTATCCCTCGGTCTCACCTTGCTTCAATGGGGGGTAGACCATTTAGCATTGCTGAACCCAAATTATGGAACTCTCTCCTGCGAATTTATATCACTTCTTAAAACTCATCTGTTCTCTGAGTGTTAACATTTGTAAGTTATCTCCTACATCTCTTTGTTTTCTGAATGTTATCATTCTTACTGCCCTTAATGTGTCCTGTTTTCTCATTGGGCTTTATTGTTTTTTTCACTTATACTAATGTCATTCTTGCTTATTATATTGATATTTTTCTTTTCTAATTGTATCTTTACTGTAAAATGTCCTTGAGCACTGGAAAAGCACTATATAAACAAAATAAATGATTATTAAAATCATTTTTAATGCACTCCTGCTCTCTTGTGTTAGACAAAAAATAACAGGTCAACAATGTGTACCCTATTAGAGGAAGGCGCCACACATTTTAGAGATGCACGATATTGGATTTTTGCCGATAGCCGATGCCGAAACTGATATATTTCCTTTAGTTTGGAATCAAGTCAAGTCTTTCCTGTGCGGAAATTATACAAATTATTTTTAAATTTGGTTAGTTAAGAAAAACTTAATTGTTTATTTAATTCTAACAAATAAGTTTTATATAACAAAGAGTGAAAAATTTAAGGGGGTCTGAATACTTTCCGTACCCACTGTATATATCAATCGCTGCATTTTCAATTATTATTTTTTTTTTTCAGAAAGATGCAGTGGTAACCTTATATTATTTTAAGATTTAACATTTATAGATGGTCTAAGGCAAAAGAGTTGTAAAAATTCTGAAAATCTTTTAGAGCTCATAATTCGTTTAAAAAAACAAAAACATATTACACATTAACAAATAAATTTGTATATATAAAATTATTTAATTTACAATTGTCCTGTTTGTGATTTTTTTTTTTATTCATGTAAGCTATAGGTTCTGACTAGAGCCCGACCGATATGGGTTTTTTGGGGCCGATACCGATACCGATATTAGGGAGTAAAAAAAAGGGCGG